TGGGGGAAGGATTGATGGAGTAGGATGCGGTTTTAAATTCCTTGTATTAGAAGGAAAACACTTGCTAAAGGCTGAAAACTTTCTAATTGTAAAATTATATTTACTAATTCTAACTATTCAACATTACGTAGTAGGGATGAGTTACACTTCCTCATTCCCACTCATTTATACCTTCCCTTGACCCTTTCACCTTCAATCACTCAACCCCTTCCTCTCCTCCCTTCTCCTTTTCCTCCGATCCTTTCCTTTTTCTTCCCTTTCCCCTCGAGTTCTTCCTTCTCATTTACCTCCTTTCCCTTCCCTGAATCCCTTCAACTCCTCCCCCTTAGCTCTCTTAAATTCCTCGCCTTATTCTCTTCTTTTCCTTTCTTTATTGTAAATTCTCTCCTTTTTTCTCCTCTCCATTTTTTCTTTGTTTTCCTTTCATTTCCCATTCGCTCTTTCCCTTCCTTTCCCTTTTCCTTCCCTTTTCTCTTTCCAATAACCATTCCTTCCATTTTTCCCTCCCCCTCTCTCTTCGGTCCACGACTGTAAGTATAAGTTAGATTGTTCACCACCTGGTTAAAAGAGAATTTATATACATTATCTTCACTGCAGAATACACATCATGCAACTGAATATATTGCAGCTACTGTGTAGTTTATCAGCTGTGTGTGAAGTTGGGGGAGGAGGGAGGGGGTTGGCCATGTATATAATATACTTCCAGGGTTAAGGGGAAAGGAAGGGAATGAAATATATTTTAGGGGCAGGGAATTCTCGGCAGTGGCGGGCAGTATCTTTTTATTTAAAGATTTGTGAATAAAGAAGGCGCGCCCTTAATGTTCTTCCATATTACCCTTTACAATTCTCCGCCCCGTCTATAATATTGGTCCTATTATTCCCATCACAAATCCCCCCTCCCCGAAAAAAAGATTCCCCATCCTTCCTAAAAGTTTTATTTTATGTCGTCTTTTAAAAAATCCGGAAAGATCGAGAATTTTCATTTCTGCTCTGAATCCAAACCAAATATTTTCATTTATTATTTAGCAGACGAACGAGTCGACACAAATAGAAACCTGAAATCCTCAAGAAATTTCCTTTACAGTGTTCTCAGTGTTGTAAGAGTTATAATTGTTTTAAACTTCTGATAATTTCTAGGATACGGATGGGAAAGACCCGTTTAGGTTATTTCAAGGCTATCTAGAGGATAACTGAATGTAAAGCTAAGTTGAATTGAAGAATGAAGGAGGATTGAACTGCTCCGCACCGATATGGAACAATATTAGACATAAACGTGTTTAAAACTCTTCTCCTCTCTTTAAAGACCTCTAAAGTTCCTTAAATTCACTCCAGTGAAAATATTTGTTTGTTTATTGTTCAATGGATGGATAGCCTATTAGGCATTCATACAAGGCTTTTTATTTTCCTTCTGAATATAAAGTTTAATTTAAATCTAGGGTCTGTCCTAGTGAACGATTTTTGGACCCCCCCCCCCAGGCCCCCCTCATCAATTTTGTACATGGATCTTATTTGTTAGACATGGATATAATTGACCATGTGGCCGCAGCGCTCGGCCCCATAGCCTGTCCTAGCCGCAGCGCTCGGCCCGGAAAGTGTATTAACCTAACCTAACCCTAAATAATAATACATAAATACTAATTTTAATTTCTTCATGCACAAAATTGATCCAAAAACCGTTCACTAGGACAGACCCTAAATATCATAGAAATGTTAAATAGGCTAAAATATCTTTATAATTTTTTCCCAATTTTTGAAAAGGAAACTTAAAATTCCCGCTGCGAGTAAATTTGGTGCCATCTGTACTAATATAACTCAATACTCTTCATTATACAGTATGAATTTTTAATAAAAGAACAAGAGAACGAATTCTTTAGTCAAATTTCATTTAATCTATAGAATTATTGGATTTAACAAAAATATAACCTTGATTTTTAAAATCAACTTATATTTTCATAAATCTTATAATTTAAAACTATTGTCCTACTATATTGTGTAAATCTATTTTTTTTAACGTAGGGTTAAGGTAAAAACATGCTTAAAAAACTCTGAATTCATTCCAAAATCTTTTTCTTGAACATCCTCCTTTCGGAGCATAAAACGTTAGTATAAAAATTATATTATTTGTTGAAGGCTCGGAAGTCAGTATGGCAAACTTAGGAGGCTCGTGGTGGTTAGGTGGTCCCCCCTCGTCTACCCAATAACATTTAATTCACATGTGTCATAAACAGTAAGAGATTAAGCAGCAACAACATTAAACATATTAACATTTTAAGATGAACAACAGCTATCTCGGCGGTTCAACAATTCTGATTTACATTGATTCATAAATACGATTTTATCATAAATATTGAAATAGATAATTTTCAAAAGTTTAACAAAAATATCAAAATTAAGTTTAACAAGTCTTTTCTCTCAACTTTTTAAAAACTTTTCCTAATTGACAAAAAACACTTCTTTACAGTTATTCTAGACCATGTAGTGATCTCTAATTTGATTTCAGATCTTTGATTATCAATATCTATGATCAAATCATTTGATCAACGTGATTTGTAAAATTTATCAGTCTTGCTGGATGATCATTTAAACTGATCAATACATGATTCTATTGTCTAAAACAATGATTGTTGGTTGAATTGTGATTATTGGGCTGATCTGCAGAATGATCACTAGATCTGTGAACTTACTACGTAATGATCATTGTAATCATTGGACTCATCTATAGAAAGATTATTGTGATCATTAGGCGACTCATCTCTAACTATTGGAATCGTTCGTAGAGACTTATATAGAGTGATTGTGTTCATTGCTCAAATTATTGTCATTGTGATTATTTGACGAATCTGCAGTCATGATCATTTGATTATTTTTAAGCATGACCATCAAGAAGTCATCTGAAGTATAAAGTTTTGATTCAGTGCTTGACAAGATGATTGTATTTCTACAAACTAGTCTCCAGTACATCATTCCTAAAAAATATGTTTTTCAATATCATGTGACCATCCATTTCATGAGGGCCATATACCTGATGAGAGACGTAAACTTGAAAACTTTATCTGGTTGATAATGTTTAAAATGACGTTGTGTTTATTCTGATAACTCTGACATTGTTTACTTGCAGAGAACTATGCAATTCACTTTTGTCGAGAAATCACAATATAACATAATTGAACAGACAAAGCTTTAAAGGACACCTTTGTAAATCAGACATGTCACTCTGTAAATGTGGAATACTTGTAATCAAAGAGAATAGAATATATATTAGAGGGGAATTTACTAGAAAATAGTGTAAAACGGCCATTTTGTTGTACTGTTTCCATACTGCAGGTGTACTTAACATATTTATGCTAAATAATCTTTTGGGCCCTGGAACATCATTTTATAGAAATTCTAAAATTACTAATAAATGAAAACCAAATTATGAAATAGGCTGGTTTCATAACTGACCAATGATCATTTCACATAGATTCTATGCCTTTCACTTTACAAACGATGATTTTCCGTTATAACTATAAATCAAATGATGCTTTTCATTCACCTAATTCATTTTATAAAGCTTATTTAACAGCTTTAAAAAATTCGAACTTGAAATGGATAGTTTAGGGAACATATTGTATTAATGTACTCTACTGCTTATAATTTGTGAACATTTACATGATTTGTACACTTTGAACTCCCTTTCAGGCTGAAAGGGACTGACAAAATTCATAAGGAGAGATTGTCTAAATTCCACTCTAATATATATTCTATTCTCTTTGCTTGTAATTATGTCGTTAAAACCCTTTAATAGTCATCTTGAAAATTGTTAGATACAAAAAAATTATCACAAATTGTTGTGATAATTTTTTTTACATTAAGATTAAATACAGCGGTATCGATTATATCAATACAATGAAGACAATTTTTTTATTAAATTTTGATTTTTAACAAGCTTTTTTCGAATTTCAAGTTTACAAATAATACAAGAGAGGCTTTTTTTAATGACATCTTTTCATAACTTTTATGTGTATTCATGCTGTTTAACAGCTTGATATCAATCAAAATTATCGTCTTCATTGTATTGATATGAAATGAAATCAAGTGATGCACATTTTTTAAAAATAGTATCACACAATTTATCAAGCCACAAAAATATCACAAGTTATATTCTCTTTAAAAAATAATTTAATTTTAGTGGTTTTTGTATTATGTTTTTCAACATAGTTTTATATGATTTAAATTTACCTATTTTTGTGAGTTGAGTTAAGAGGAATTTCCTTGCTTTCGGGTTCTAAAACTAGAATCCTGGGAAACTCATCCAAACAGTTGAAAACGACATTTTCTCCCTCCGCTGCCAGTACACGTGGGGAATCAGCTGATTGGTTGAAGACGCCATTTTCTACTTCTGCTATTAGTTCCCGGGGGAAGTCATCTAAAGGAAGGTCTAATTAAGTTTTATTGGGTAAAAATTCATCTTATAAAATCAACTTAAATAAAAAAATGAATTTGAAGTTGAATTTTATGTTAAAAAAATATATTCCACACAGTCGTCTTCGAAGTGTCATCTTGTGAGGAAAACCCTGCTCTTAAATATTTTTAAACTATCACATTGAGATCTTAACATCCATAAAATACACATTTCAATTTCTAATCCTTTTAAATGTACAAAGACTTTATTAAAATGTTAGTGCATTTTATAGTTAAGAACACTTATAAAGTAACCCCCCCCCCTCTCCTTCCTGGTATGGCAATTAAGACTCCAATCGCTAATTAGGGCTAATTAGACGTCTAAACTGTAACAGTGTCTCAAACTAAAGAACTTGTTTATTAAGAGGTCAGAACTTAAATATGAATAATCACTAACTAACATGCAGCGTATAATCTATATCCAAAGCTGAAACTTTTGATTTGAAGCGATTAACTGATTAAACCGTAAAGTCAGCGGCTGATCGTATTTCTTTGGCTTAGAACAATCTTTTCTGGTTGATTGGACCTTGATAGACGTCCATGAAGATTGAAATTAATCACAAAAGATATACAACACAAAAGTTTCTACCTTAAAATTATTTTTTATTAAAAAAGTAAATAATCCCAAAACATGTCAAAAACGGGTTCTGTTTGTAAAGAGAAAAACATATAAATATAAAAAATATTTTATATTTATTATAAAAGTGTTTTTCTACAAGAAAATATCTTTTTACAGTGTATACTGTAACCTCGCGTCTCCCGGAAATAAATCTTCAGCTACCAAGGGTGTAATTACATCCTTGAGCTATACAAACGAGGTTTATAGCCACTCATCGTTATCCGGACAAAGGTTTAAAGAGTAACATTGTGAATCGGACATGCCTCTCTTTTAAATGGAAGGTCACTTGATATTAAGGTTTATTCTCAATGTTTACTTACCATAGCGAAGACGATTGAAGATGTGAGTATCAGAGGTCATGGTGGTTGTACAACTCTAATAATAAAAGATAAATTGTAAAAAATAAAAAAGCAAAAGTTCTAAAAATATTTTATTCTTGTCTATAGATTGCTTGGAACTGGAGATAAGACTGTCAGCATGGCAAATTTTTGAAAAAAAATATGTTATCAAAATCCATGGGATAATTATTTTAACTCTAAATTTGTTCAGGGAAAAAATCAAAAATTTTACTTAACCACTAATTTCATCAGAAAGCTTTTTTATCTAAATATTTTCATTTTTATACTATAAATAAATCTTATATATTATTGACGATATAATTTTACCTTGTTTAAATCATCAACTCGTAGCCCAGACATTGAACCTGAAGCAACAAATTTTAATTTTATATTTTTAATTTTATTTTATTTTATTTTATTTCAATTTATTTCGTGGATTAGAATGTTATGCGCCAGTTTTGCAAAGTAGAATGAGCAGAGCATTCTTTGCAGGGGCGTATTGGAGGAGCTAGATTTTTGCGCGCGTAAGGTTTAGTGATGCCATTTAGCGCTGAAAAGTCGGCCCTGTAATTGAACCGGAGTTTATTGTGACGGTGATTGATTTTTTTACGCCTCTGTTCATATAAAACACTGAAAACATGTATGACGCAGAAAATAGACAGCAAAAAGGTGCAGTCATTCAGTTGAATAATAATCCATTTTGATTTATAGGTTGCAAGCTCTCAAGCCAGAATTGTTGAGAATTTTGCCTGATAAAGTAGAAATTAAATATCCATGTTTTTGTTTTTTGAAAACTGTATATTTTCATTTTCTGAAAAAGTGACTTTAGAAACAATATTAAGATTTAAACGATTTTTGAGCTAAAACCTTGACGTCATCATCTGTCACATTATTGATCAGATTAAAGTTTCAAGGTTATCGTTGTGTAACTAAAGATTCACTTAAAATTACGACACAGTCCCCTTAAAGGTAAAATTACGACACAGTCCCTTTAAAGGTAAAGTTACGACACAGTCCATTTAAAGGTAAAATTACGACACAGTCCCTTTAAAGGTAAAATTACGACACAGTCCCTTTAAAGGTAAAATTGCGACACAGTCCCTTTAAAGGTAAAATTACGACACAGTCCCTTTAAAGGTAAAACAATTATACCTTGATCTTGTCCTTGAGCAGGTACAGGCAGTAACCTCTCACCAAACTAAAATAGAATTCATTAATAACAAATTTAATAAAAAATCTTCAATATTTTGTGCTTTATTAATAGCATTTTTCAAGAAGTTTTGAGATCTTTAAAGCACTCTTAACTTGATCTCTTTTTTGATATTTTAATATTTCAGTTTTATATTCCTAAGAAACCTTTTTACATTTTGAAATGTTTTAGTTATAATAAGGAAAGCAGTTTTACACTATAAGCAGCGCGTATCTCTTTAGGTATATAATTCAAAATTTTTTGGACAGAATTTGTTTGATCATTTCTTTAAAAACCATCAAATAAATTAAAACGAGAAAAATAGAGAAGTTTTTTTTTGTTACCTCTGTATCTAGTCGCCATCTTGGCCTTCTCCGATCCTTTTAAATGTCGTTTTTTAATATCATCTTAAAACATTTCGAAATTTCGTTATTTTTATTTTATTTCATTTTATGACAAACTTTCAATATTGGCTAGCTATGATAGAATGAATGAAAAAAAATAAAGTTTGATTTATAAAATTTGACGCTATGAATATTTTAAGCAACTTTTAAAGATTGAAAACGTGGAATAGAGTCAAAAACATGAATTTTGAAAATACGGAAATGTTTTTGAAAAACCCACTAATCTATAAATTGGCCATGCCAAGCCCCACACAAAAGTTAAGTTATCTAATAAACCAAAATTACTAAGTAAATAGATGAACTAGCATTTTTAGCTATTTTTCCCAATAAAAGACGACCCACTCAATTTAGAATCTCAAACCAAGCTCAGAACATTTCTGTGGGTCTCCCGAGTTCCCCAATCAAAACGGCTGAATCGATCGGGCCCAAATTTTGTGTGGGGCCTCAAATGACCCCAATGAAGGTTTATGGATGCTCAAAATTAAAAGAAGTTGCCTCAACAAGTTTTGATTTTTAACATTTTGAAAATGCCCGCAAAATCTTTTTTGTTAATGCATAGTATAGATTTAAAAAGAAGCATCCCTTGCAGGTTGACATGGTAGAAGGTTGTCTGGTCAACTCTCTTCCTAAATTTTCTTATTTTATTGATTCAATAAATTAAGTTTCATTCCCTAATTATCTTTTAAATATTAAATATTTATTTTTATTTTTAGAATTAGAACTTTTAAAATGAAAGTGAATTATTTTCGTCGTACTCGTAATGGTTTAAACAAATGCAATTGAGTTTTGCCACAATCTGTAATTTTATAATCCCTTTATCTTTGCATCCCAATGTCATAGACCTTTGACATTTAAAACTATAAATTGTGTTAAATAAAATAGTCTAAGTTTTAAATATCAAAGATAATTATTTAGAAAAGTGTGTAATTGACGCAAGATAATAAAGGGAAATGGTACGAATATATTTTAATATAATTCGAATGATGTAAAATATTAAAAAAATAAAAAACATGAATTTAATCTAAAGTTTCTTTACTTACCTAGTTTTCTCATCAGGTTCCGCCGAAATTCTGAAGATAAAGATTTTTAACGAGATACATTTGTTTAACTTTGATATCTGACTTTAAACAGTTTCCTTCTTTTCCTTAAGTTCAGATTGCTTCTAAACCTACTTGACCTTTAAACTTTGTTGAGTTCAGTATTAAACCTATATATTGACCTCTACCATCAGTATTTGACCTTGACATTGACCACTATTTTCAGTATTTGACCTTGATATTGACACCTACCTCCAGTATTTGGACCTATATATTGACCTGTACCTCCAGTATTTGACCTTGATATTGACCTCTACCTCCAGGATATGACTTTGATATTGACCTCTACCTCCAGTATTTGACTTGGATATTGCCCTTTATATCCATTATCCAGTATATGACCTTGATATTGACCTGATCCAAACATGCAGTAAATGATGAAGTTGATAGAGGAATTCAACACAGCACAGAACCGAGCAAAGAAGTCACCTGATCAATCAATCAATTAATCATTCAAAAACCAATCAATCAGTTAATTAAACAATCAATTAATTAATATATCTTTTAATTAATCAATTAATCAATGAATCAAACAATCGAATAATTAATCAATCACTTCATCAAACCATTAATAAATTATTCAATTAATTAATAATTTAATTAATTAATCAAACAATTGATCAAAAAATTAAATTATTAATAAATTTATCAATTAATCAAAAATCACATAAGAAATAAATTGAAAAATTACTATTTTAATCAATTAATCAAAACATCAATCATTTTGTCAATTAACCAATTGGTCAATTAATCAAACAATCTAACAATTATTAAAACGATCAATCAATTAAACTATCAATCAAATAATTATTTAATCAAACAATCAATTACTCATTCCATCAATCAAATAATCAATAAATAAATTAACAAATTACATTTCAACCATTACAGAAATAAAATAGTAAATATAACCGTGAAAGGAAACAATCAATAATATTGATCCAACCAAAACAAAAAAATATCTTGATGTAAACCAAAAGATATATCCCCAAAAGCATTAGAAAGAAATGATAATAGAAAATATAACTATAACTAGACAGATCACTTCTTAGAAGCATACCGAGATTTTTAAATATCAAAGATTTACACCATCAGGTTGCATTTGCTAGACGTTTGATGAATTAATGTGACTTTTATTTATGTTTACGAATTAGAGTGACTGAAGCTAATGGTTTATTTATGTTTACGAATTAGAGTGACTGAAGCTAATGGTTTATTTATGTTTACGAATTAGAGTGATGGAAGATAATGGTTTATTTATGTTTACGAATTAGAGTGACTGAAGATAATGGTTTATTTATGTTTACGAATTAGAGTGACTGAAGCTAATGGTTTATTTATGTTTACGAATTAGAGTGATGGAAGATAATGGTTTATTTATGTTTACGATGCCTGTTAATGCTTTATAGTGTATCTATCAGAAAAATTGATGAGAAAGATTGGTTCTATCAGAGTTACCCACAATTGTCACAAAGGATTAGACCCCAGTGACGATTGTACGGAAATTTTTAGTCATTAAAATTTTTTTTTTTCAAGGAATAAAATTATATCCAAACTTCAGATTGTAATTCTTTAAAAGTAATAGGTCGTCATTAAAGTGCCATCATGTGTGGGTAACCCTGTAGACTATTTTAATTACTATGATTGGGAACCCAGTTTTGTTTGGAAATGCACATAATGTATAATGTACATAATGTACATAATGTAATGTATATGTGCATCAATTCAATCTAGAATTTATGAACCAAGCTACGACAATTCCCGTGGTTCTACCGAATTCCCAAATCAAAACTAGATTCAAATAAGACAAGGGGTTCCTGAGTTAAGATCGGATATACAAATAAACAAACAGACAGTATCTATAATAGTTTCTTTAGTCACGTGGTATTCAAATCCGTGTTCATAGCATACCTCTACAGACCTCAGAGATATTACCTCAAATTATATTGATTCAAGATTTAATGAATAGAGAAATGCAGATTAACTAGGAACTGGAAAAAGGCAACTAAGCAGAAGTATTTAAAATAGCCATAACCAGTTCAGCCACTTTTCTCTATTCAAATCTTAAGAATTCGAAAAATCATGTTAAACTCTGAAAAAAGGACAAACAGGGTTAACAAAAATGTTCCTCGGTTAAAATAAATTGTTAAAATAAGCAAGTTCATTGCATGCACTATAGTCTTATAGTCTTTAAAATTAAAATTAAATAAAATAAAAATTATCAAAGCCAAAAATACAAGAAAGGTTTCCTAATTAAATTTTGTACTTCAAGGATGACAATTCCAGGTAATTCAGCTGCAGCATTTCTCAATAAAAATACCAGTGTGCAGTACGAAGCTAATCTTAGTAATATCTAGTTTTATTTGAGAAAATCTACAAAGTTATCGAATTATAAGAAAATGCTTGAAACAAGAAAAATTCTGAGAAATAAAGTTCAGAGTTTGACCTTTTTTTGCTGACTTAAGAAATACTTTTTTTTCTATTTCTCTTATTCAACATTGAACTTATATAATTCATTTTCAAAATTAAAACTGTTAAAAAGATAAAAATTGGCCCAATAGTGCAAGTCACACTGATTTGGTTAATTTCTACACTTTTTTAATTGGTTAAATTAATATGGGTTAAAAAGAACAAGAGATTGGCACGCTTTTAATCCGTTCTTTATCTGTTCATGGTACTGTTTCTTATAAATTAATATAAATTAAAAATTAATTATTATCAGTTTTGAAGGTGGTCTGCGAATTTATACAGCAGAAAAGAAAATTTTCTCGGCAAACAATGACAATATCTTCCTCACTGTTACTACGATGGAGGTTTAAAGATCACCATTGTGAATCGGACATGCCATGTATGGAGGGTTATTTGAAATTACCTCTAGAAAATAAGACATAGTCTAGGAAAGTTTAAGAGGGAAGGTTTACTTCTAGAAAACTAAGACGGAGTCTAGTAAAGTTTAAGAGGGAAGGTTAACCTCCAGAAAGCAAAGACAAAGTCTAGGAAAGTTTAAGAGGAAAGGTTTACCTCTAGAAAATTAAGACAACGTCTAAGATGGTTTCAGAGTGAAGGTTTACCTCTAGAAATCTAAGACAAATTCTAGGAAAGTTTAAGAGGGAAGGTTTACCTCTAGAAAACTAAGACAAAGTCTAGGAAAATTTAAGAGGGAAGGTTTACCTCTAGTAAACTAAGGCAGAGTCTAGGAAAGTTTAAGAGGGAAGGTTTACCTTTAGAAAACTAAGACAAAGTCTAGGAAAGTTTAAGAGGGAAGGTTTACCTCTTGTAAACTAAGACAAAGTCTAGAAAAGTTTAGGAGGGAAGGTTTACCTCTAGAAAACTAAGACAGAGTCTAGGATGGTTTAAGATGGAAGGTTTACCTCTAGTAAACTATGGCAGAGTCTAGGAAAGTTTAAGAGGGAAGGTTTACCTCAGGAAAACTAAGACAGCGTATAGGAAAGTTTAAGAGGGAAGGTTTACCTCTCGAAAACTAAGACAGAGTCTAGGAAGGTTTAACAGGGAAGGTTTAGCTCTAGAAAACTAAGATAGCGTCTAGGAAAGTGAGGGTTTACCTTTAGAAAGCTGAGACAGAGCCTAGGAAGGTTTAAACAGGGAAGGTTTACCTCTAGAAAGCTGAGACAAAGCCTAAGAAGGTTTAAGAGGGAAGGTTTAGCTCTAGAAAACTAAGATAGCGTCTAGGAAAGTGTGGGTTTACCGCTAGAAAGCTGAGACAGAGCCTAGGAAGGTTTAAGCAGAGAAGGTTTACCTCTAGAAAGCTGAGACAGAGCCTAGGAAGGTTTAAGAGGGAAGGTTTACCTCTAGAAAGCTGAGACAGAGCCTAGGAAGGTTTAAGATGGAAGGTTTACCTCTAGAAAACTAAGACAGAGCCTAGGAAGGTTTAAGAGGGAAGGTTTACCTCTAGAAAGCTCTGACAGAGCCTAGGAAGGTTTAATAGGGAAGGTTTACCTCTAGAAAGCTGAGACAGAGCCTAAGAAGGTTTAAGATGGAAGGTTTACCTCTAGAAAACTAAGACAGAGCCTAGAAAGGTTTAAGAGGGAAGGTTTACCTCTAGAAAACTAAGATAGCGTCTAGGAAAGTGAGGGTTTACCTCTAGAAAGCTGAGACAAAGCCTAGGAAGGTTTAAAGCTAGGAACACTATCACTAGAACTGTCATAACCTGAAGAAGGACAATTTTATTTTATACAAAAGTTTATCTTTTTTCAAATTAAACGTTAAACCCCACTTTAAAATTGGTTTCGCATAAACTACTGGGACTAAATTTAGATACATTAAAGAAACAAATTACAAAAAAAAAAACATTTTAAGTTTATACTCTGTAAGAACATTTTGTATCTAACAGAATAGTGTTAGAATACTTTTTTCAATCATTCATAATTCATCATATTTTTGACACTCTACAGATGAACATCTTAAAATATTTTCATTTGTAATCATACTTGAGAAAATGTTAGTGACGAATAAAAAAGAAACTTTTATACAGGGTGTCCCACGAAACATGACAGTAGCAAGACGACTTGAAGGTCGTCTTTGATGTTTCAAATAATTTACGGCATTTATTTGTAAATCACATTTTAGAAGTAAAATTTTAGAGTTCATGGTCGCAAAATACCACTAGTATTGACATTTCCAAATGTAATTTGCCTTTTTTTGTGCAATTTCAATATTACCCGAGATATGAAGAGTTTTGTTAAGATTTCGACAACTTTGGTTTTATCTATATATAAATTTGGCTTGTCTGTCTGTCTGTCTGTCTGTTTGTTTATATCCAATAAACGTCAAAACGGCTGAACCGATCGGGCCCAAATTTTTTGTGGGACATCTCGGGACCCCAGGGAAGGTTTATGAATGATTGAAATTTTAAATATTTGTCTCCATCAAAATTCGATCGTCATTAAATTTTTAAAAATTTTGAAAATCCGCGAAATTTTTTGTGAAAATCCGCGAATTATTTTTGTTTTGTTTTACGATGTACACAAAGAGAACATGTTCACAACTAATTTAGAAGATGGGCGCGAAGCGCCTTGAATTTCTAGTTTGATAAAATTTAAATCTGAACAAAATTCTCAAAATCTCCAGAAATATTGACTGCACAAAAAAAGAACTGAAAACTTTAGAATTGTGGCCACCAAGATTAATTCTTAAACTCCTGGTTTTACTAAATCCAAGATTATTTTAAAACACATTCGATATCCAAGAAAGAAGTTAAAGATTTAACCAGCGTGGCATGTTTTGATTTCTGGTGTTGATGGTGGCATATCAATTGAACTAAGTATCAATTGAGCGAACGTAAGTTTTGGATTAATGTTAATTGAGACTTACTTCAAAATGGCAATAGTTTTAAAATATGTTTATTATAATTTCATATAAAGATGATTAAATTTATATTTGTTTAAATTTTCTAAAAGCCGGCTTGTGCAGTGAACAGCTAGCTGACTTTAATTCGATCGGATATTAGTCCAATCGATATAGCATTGTATCTGTGGTTGTTATCAAACGTAACTTTACACAGTAGAAATATTCAAAAGGAGGATTATAAGTAGAAAATCAAAAGTTTGTACATTGGATAATTAGATTAAGCGATCATGATTAAGGATATCTTATTCTAAAGTTTTCAAATAAACCATATTATGGAAATCTATAAGACTTTTGTGGTCATTGTTTGAAAAATCATGCATGTGAAAGAAGGCTGAATGTCTCAAATAAATTTAAAAGTTCAAAAACGACTTTCAAATCGTCGTTGCTACTGTCATGTTTCGTGGGACACCTTGTAGTTTTGCTAAAAGACGCGGTTTCATTTTATTCACTGTAGTTGTACTGTAAATAAAAGTTTTCATTTGGGTGATAAATAAAAATAGTATGCCAGGGGTGTCAACTAAGCATTTCAAGTTTTTTTCAAGGGCTAAAATTTCCATTCTGAAATCAACTGAACTACATAACTTTTATTTTTCGAAAAAAAAAGAATATGTGTTTTCAGATTAGAAATAATGAGACTTTTAATTTTATGGTTTTTTAATGTTGATTTTAGATTTTCTATAAAATGATGTTCCAAAAGGGTATTTAGCGCAAATATGTGAAGTACACCTGCAGTATGGAAACAGTACAACAAAATGGCCGATTTACACTTTTTCAAGTAAATTCCACTCTAATATATATTCTATTCTCTTTGCTTAAAACAGATTGCAATGTAATTGGTTAAGACAAATTTGGATACTTAAAACCAAGGTTTTTTCGAGCCTTGCTCACGTTACTGGCCTAAAATTCTGCTTTTACAAAAATTATACTTAATGACATCTAACAAATTTTGTTTTAAGAAATGAAGTATTTTTCATACAAATGTAATGCGTAACAAAATCACAATTTTAGCTTTATTTTAACAGGAGAGCATCCTATCTCTAACTGATTAAAAGAATTTCGAAGTTTATAACCGTGTCGTTATTTTTTCACCATTTTCAGCACCTACAAATACAATGATTAAATTATTTGATAACTAGAGTTTTAATGATGATAGTTTGAATTTAAAACCAATACTGCAGCCAATGACGTCATATAAAAGTGTACAGAGCGGACACACTATTCGGATAAATTCCTAATGCCCTATCTTCTAACGAATTTTAAGATGAAATATAAAGAGTGGCATTGGAAAAAATATTTCCGCAGGAAGTGCCGAACTGTAAAAATTGACCAGAATTCAATGTATTCTTATTCCGTCGGACGAGGGGAGGAAGGCCAGCCACAACAATTTCTCGTCCGAGCCACATTCTCCTCATTTTCTCGTCCGAACCACCTCGGAATCCTCGTCCTTAATTTAGGTAAAACTTAAATCTACTTTGCCTCCGTAATGGCTAACCTTTGTGATATAGAATAAATAGCAAAATATTCGGCTTACCTTTGCCTATAATTTTCCCCATGGAACCACCCGGAAAAAATAAATGGTTTTCCCTATAGTTAACAAAAAAGATTGAAGTTCTATAAACTTGAAATTATTTGCGGCCTTCCACCCAAGGAATATCTGAAAATGCGCGTAAAAAAGGTGAACATTTTTAAAAACAGTAAACTTGAAAGCTTTAATTCATTTGAAACTTTTTTTTTCGATTTACACAAATTTGATATTTCATTTATGCCCTAACGTGGCTGGATTCTTAAAAAATAGTTTCATCTGGAATGATTAGACACTTGAAAAAATAATATTGAAAGGACGATGATTTCGAGGTGGCTCGGACGAGAAATTGAGAAGAATGTAGCTCGGACGAGAAATTGTTGTGGTTGGCCTTCCTCCCCTCGTCGGACCCAAACAATAAAAAAGAAATTTCATTCGAAGAAAAAATTTATTATTTATTTTGTTTACTTTTCTAAAACTTTACTTAATGAGATTTTTTATAATCACGAAAAGCTTTTTCTGTCTCATATATTTTTTGTCACTTTATACAGCAAAATAAATAATGAATAAATTAAAAAGTTAAAACTTGTTCTTTTTTGTTCAGGTTGATTATTTCTCAAGACCTGAGCTAACAGAAAATCCCTTGTTCTTCTTCTTGTAAATTGAAAATATCTTGTCTCTTTCATCTGGGAGTAAACCTGAATACATAATCAAGTTATATCCGGGAGTAAACCTGAACAGATAATCGTATATCGGGAGTAAACCTGAACATATAATCTTATATTCGGGAGTAAACCTGAATATATAATCAAGTTATATCCGGGAGTAAACCTGAACAGATAATCGTATATCGGGAGTAAACCTGAACATATAATCTTATATCCGGGAGTAAACCTGAATATATAATCAAGTTATATCCGGGAGTGAACCTGAACAGATAATCGTATCTGGGAGTAAACCTGAAAAGATAATCTTATATCCGGGAGTAAGCCTGAACATATAAACTTATATCCGGGAGTAAACCTGAATATATAATCAAGTTATATCCGGTAGTAAACCTGAACAGATAATCTTAAATCCGGGAGTAATTCCTGAACATATAATCAAGTTATATCCCAAAGTAAACCTGAACAGATAATCGTATATCTGGGAGTAAATCTGAACATATAATCTTATATCCGGGAGTAAACCTGAATATATAATCAAGTTATGTCCGGGAGTGAACCTGAACAGATAATCGTATCTGGGAGTAAATCTGAAAAGATAATCTTATATCCGGGTGTAAACCTGAAATATTCAGCTTATATGTAATACAAATTTTTAAATTTTGTCACCAAGAGCCAGAGAGTGTGACAACTAATTATGCTTGATAAAAAAGTTGTTAAGATCTAATTTGTATTTTTTAAAAGCAAGATATAATGTAAATTGTCAGAAGTAAAAAACACATTTTGGATTTCGACAAATTTTTCTTTTTAATTCCAGACCTTACTTTAAGTTAATTCTTTGAGCTAAGTTTTATGAAAACCCTAAATTTCATATAAATATCCCAGCTAAGCTAAATCCGGCAAGAAATGAAAAACTTGCAAAATTGACAATTTTCCAGTGTATGCACTAAACCCGTAGAGCGGAGTTATATCATGAATTGAGTTTATTGCAAACAGCCATAGAGTACACAATTAGTAGAGAGGAAATAAGTATCTATCTCGGTGATAATAATAAAATTCATAGTTTATTCACCTTTTCTTTTTCGTACACTGCGTTTATCAAGGACGTACATAGGAATTTGTCCAGGGGTTTTTTTCTTTCAAGGGGGCCATGGAAAACCATAGCTTTTACTGAACCAAAGGGTATTGAACCCCCCCCCCCTGTGTACGACTCTGATCCCCATCACTTTGTAATATTTGCAACCGCTAAACTTTATATATGTGTAATTATCTAGGGTTTACCAATAAACATGGGAATTAAATGACAACTTCAATATCGTCTTTGTTCCACGTGGGATTTTTTTTTGTTAACATAATTTTGTAGTACCACAATTAAAACATTTAACACCGAAAACTACTAGTCTCGGGATTTTCAAAATGGGGTCTACCATTTATACCCTCAAAATTACGGAAATATTAGGAAATTTGTTGAGATTCCAGTTTGTTGAGAATCAATAAAGCTGTTCAAATGTTTAATATCTCCGTCTATTTTTTATGTACAAAGAAGGTAGACCACATGTTGGAAAGCTCATACGACTTTTAATCTCTTTTTGATGTACTTTTTATCATTTGTCAATTATCGGAAATCAAAGATGATATGAAAGTCGTCTTTCTATTCCCATGTTTATTGGGACACCCTGTGTTTAGACAAATAATTTTTTCAGTGTGAAACTTCGCCTGCAGTATGATGTAACTGTATACCTAAAGAGCTGTTTTATATATTTTTGAGTAAATTCATCTCCTCTATATATAATTGTATATTCGCTACTCTATGGAGACGGTTCATCAAACGTAAAAAAACACTCAACTGCAGTTAATTTACTTCTCTTCCAACATAAAAGAGTTTTATTTTCGAGCAAACTTGCACAAAAGTAATCTCGTCTCGATTGACCCTACTTTTATTATAGTTTATTCATTGCTCACTTTATATTTTTTTTAAAGAGAAATAATGTAAAGAAGCTTTTCTTTAAATTGTGATGTTCTCTTTAAATTATCTTATTCGGGGCATCAAATTTTGATTTAATAGTTGTTAATTTTTATTTGAAATTGTCAAAAATATTTAGAAAAAAGTAAAGAATATTTCACTAAAATTTTAAAGTTCAAAACGAGTTGTTTGAACTAAAAAACGATCGTTTTTTTCTAAAAACGAAACGATCGCGACGCTAATAGGAAAAAATTAAAACGAAACGAAAAATGGTAGTTTTTGATCGTTTTTACAAACGATTAACAACCCTACCCCCACCACCCCAGCCCCCTCTCCTCTACTATGCCTGTCCTACATAGTTAATAAGTAGTTCAAATACCTTATAGTTGAGAATAGTGAGGAGAATGATTGGAATAATTCCTGTTGTCGAGAAAGGATGGAAAATCTGAAAATTAGAAAAAATATGCTCAAGCAGACCCGTAGAGATGTGGAATAGGAAGACGACTGTTGGATTTAAATTATGATTCTAAATAGTTCAATGAATACGAAATACTGTATTTGTGCAGTGTGTGGAGACCCAAGCCACTTGCACTTGCACTTGCACTTGCACTTGCAATTGCACTTGCACTTGTAATTTCACTGTACAGGTAAAATCACCATCGAATACACATAATATCGTCTTTCTATTTTACATACAGGGTGTCCCACGAAACATGACAATAGCAAGAGGACTTGGAAGTCGTCTTTGGTATTTGAATTTATTTGTGACATTTAGTCTTCTATCTACTTAAACATGTATGATTCTTGAAACAATTATCACATAATTCTCCTAGCCCTGGCATTTCCAAAAAGTGGTCTGCGTTTTTTGTGCTTTCAATATTACCGGAGATATAAAGAGTTTGGTTCAGATTTCAATTTTGTTAAATAAAAGCAAAATTGTCGAAATCTGAACGAAATTCTTCATATCTCGGGCAATATTGAAAGCACAAAAAAGGCAGACCACATTTTGGAAATGGCAGGACAAGGGAAATTTTGTGATTATTATCTCTAGAAATTTACTTCTAAAATTAGGTTGACAAATAAACGCAGCAAATTATATCAAAAATCAAGACGACATTCAAGTCGTCCTGCATACTGTCATGTTTCGTGGGACACCCTGTATATGTATGGGTCTTTATGTACTTATCCTTAAACTCACAATTCAACTAACCTTTTAAAAGCTTTCTTGAGAAAATAAAAAAAAATTTTCGGGGGGGGGGATGAAATAAGAACTTTAAACTAAAGCTATTTTGAATCGAATGGCTCTATTTGATTGTAAAATCATTCTAATTAGGTAGAGAGCCGCTTCAACAAATGGCATTCCTTAATACTGCAAATATAAAAAGAATTATATACATGTAGGCTTTATTTGCAAAGAAAGGTAGTTCTTTAGGAGCAATTATTTTACATAAAAAGCAAGGATAAATGATAAATTAAACGTTTTCATTGTAGCGACCAGATATCGTCTTTGCAGAGAAAGAGGAAATCCGGGAAAAAGAAATCATAAATCTGCAATCCAACAGTTAGTAGTTCTTAAACATTTATAGATGTACTCAATATTTATACAAATAAATAAATGTCTAAAACTATTATGAGCTGTGTTAGAAAGATATTAAAATATAGAATAAATTTATATCTAACCTGAAAGAACAGTAGAAATTTGAGATAAACTGGAATTTTCTGAAGTTCAATACCAATATTGAAGAGGGATATAAACCTTAACATTTTAAACTTTATTCTTTGCATTTTATTTCATTTTAGTCAAATATTTTCTTAGGCAGAGGCCCTGGAAGTTACTTGCATATGCTGCTTTGAATTACAAGACAGAGATAGTCTGCAGTTCTAGCCGCGGCGCTTGGCCCCCTTGCCTGTCATAGCTGCAGCGCTCGGCCCGGAAAGTGCCTTAACCTAACCTAACCCTAAATTATATACTAATTACTACACTCTCTTTTCTTGTAATTCAACGCGGCAAGTGCACATAACTTCCTAGGGCAGAGGCCTATTTTATACATGTATAATATGTATGATGGAGGTTTTAAGAAGGTGAATTCCATGCAAATTCGAATTTTACTGGGTGTATCAAATGAATTAAAGTTATGATTAAAATCTTGTTAACATGTTGTACTTTTAATTATATATTCAGAAATTTGATGAAATAATTAGGTTGGTTGTAAAACTTTCAAAAGATTATTTTGTGAAATAATACAATAACAATGAATGACAGCTTGAACATCCTAGGGTCGACTTAAAGAGTGAGGCCCAATGAAAATAAAACTGATTGTGGTTGGTTTTAGTGGAGATTTAGGCTTAATGTTAAGTCTTGTTCTCATCAAAAAAATTCAGAATTGGCAAATTTGCAAAAATATTTTGCAAAAAGTGTGCAAAAATTATTTGCTGTTTTATTTTGCCTGTTTTCTTCTATTTATGATTCTCAAATTTATATATAGAAGGTTCTTTTATTTATACTAGGCTTTTAGGGCGCTTCGCGCCCAATGTCCATCTAAGATATCAACTGTAAGCGGCTTTAACTTTGAGCATCTTCTACAATATAAAACAAAAACAAAAAAGTTTTCACGCATTTTCAAAATTTTACAAAAATAAACATTTTTTAAACAAAAATTTAAAAATTTTGATCATTCATAAACTTTCCCTGGGGTCACGTCACAACATGGTCCCACACAAAATTTTGGCCCGGTCGGTTCAGCCGTTTTGACGCTAATTGGATACAAACAAACAAACAACCCAGACAAGCCAAAGGAATTGAGTTTTTGTAACAAAATCAAATAATTAAACCCCAATATCTTTAGAACGCGATGTTGTAAACCTTTGACATTTCAAACTCTGATTATTTGATTTAACAGAATTCATAGTTTGAAATATTTAAGGTCAACAACATTTGGTTCCAAAGATATAGTGATTAGAAAATCAGAGTTTGTGGCAAAGACTCAATTCCTTTATATAAATATTTCTAACCTCTGAACCTCATAGATCTTTGTTTACACAGTTTGTAAACTTTATGAAATATAAGACTAAAAGCATAAACATTTTGAATTGTTTTTTAGTAAAATGCATTCATGAGGTAATTTTAATAATCAATAAAACTTTGTAATTTAATTTATCATTTATTTGTTCAAGATTCGCCCTTTTTGAGAACAGAGATGAATTTTAGTGAAAAATAGTTAGTTTTGGGAAAAGTAAGAAAAAGTGGTTTAATACAGTGGTCGCGATCATATCAATACATTGAAAACAACTTTTTATATTTAAGTTTTGATTGTTTACAGGCTTCATCGAATTAAAGTTTACAAGTAATTAATTTACTTTTTATTTGACAGCTTCTCTTTGTTTCCATGTTTATGTGTATTCAGGCTGCTTAAAAGCTTGATAAAAATCAACATTGTAACCTAAAGTCGTCTTCATTGTTTTGATATTTGCGGCGATGACTGTATATAGTTAGTAAGACATTTTTTTACGTTTTTAAAAATAAAAGTTTAAAATAACCAGTAACAATTAACAGTTTCACATGTATAACGCGTCACTTTTACAAACGAAATTAAGTTCGATGAAAAAAGAAAGAAAATATCCTTTTCTGAATAAGGCTTATCAGTCTAAATTAATTACATTGTATATGTATTTGTATTTCCATCAAAGCCTTGGTGGGGCGCCTATTGTTTCATTAATGCTTATACAAATATATCTTATAAAATTGTTCAGGAAAAATAAAAATAAAGAAAAGCATACAATTGTAGTTGCTCAACTAATTTCTATAGCTCTCAGTGTTATTTTAGACTTTAGAGTAGAGTCAAGTTTTAAAACCATGCCAGACTTGCAATTTGGTAAAGACATGGTCATTATTTTGAAATTATGGCATCCAAAACACCTTTCAATTTCAACACTTTGGATGCTTTGGTCCTGTAGTAAAGCATCAAAAGTGTAATTTGAAAGCATCAAAAGCAACATTTGATAGAATCAAAATCAACATTTAAAAGCATCAAAAGCAACAAGCAATCAATTTTGATGCCTTACCCACTCTTTTTTGAGAAAATATTAACTTTCCTGTCAAATTATGACTTAATAAACTAAGAATTAGGAAGCATTGTTCTTCCCTGTCCTTTTCGGATGGATTTAACACCACAAATATTTCCTCATTCGGTTGTAAAACAAGATGAAAGAAATCTTTCATTTTTCTGGTCAAAAATCATTTTAGATGCTTTTAAGAAAAAACCTTAGAAAGAGCACGTTTTGGCAAGAGAGGAAGAAGATGCATTACCCTGAGAATAGGATGGTTTCTTACCTTGTAATATTGATTAGAGCTGAGATTAGGATGGTTTCTCACCTTGTAATATTGAGTAGAGCTGAGAGTAGGATGGTTTCTCACCTTGTAATATTGAGTAGAGCTGAGAGTAGGATGGTTTCTTACCTTGTAATATTGAGTAGAGCAGAGAGTAGGATGGTTTCTCACCTTGTAATATTGAGTAGAGCTGAGAGTAGGATGGGGTTATGTTTCTCACCTTGTAATATTGAGTAGAGCAGAGAGTAGGATGGTTTATCACCATGTAATATTGAGTAGAGCTGAGAGTAGGATGGTTTCTCACCTTGTAATATTGAGTAAAGCTGAGAGTAGGATGGTTTCTCACCTTGTAATATTGAGTAGAGCTGAGAGTAGGATGGGGTTATGTTTTTCACCTTGTAATATTGAGTAGAGCAGAGAGTAGGATGGTTTCTCACCTTGTAATATTGAGTAAAGCTGAGAGTAGGATGGGGTTATGTTTCTCACCTTGTAATATTGAGTAGAGCTGAGAGTAGGATGGGGTTATGTTTCTCACCTTGTAATATTGAGTAGAGCTGAGAGTATGGTGTGTTTATGTGTCTCACCTTGTAATATTGATTAGAGCTGAGATTAGGATGGTTTCTCACCTTGTAATATTTAGTAGAGCTGAGAGTAGGATGGTTTCTCACCTTGTAATATTTAATAGAGCTGAGCGTAGGGGGGGTTTATGTTTCTCACCTTGTAATATTGAGAAGAGCAGAGAGTAGGATGGTTTCTCACCTTGTAATATTGAGTAGAGCTGAGAATAGGATGGTTTCTCACCTTGTAATATTGAGTAGAGCTGAGAGTAGGATGGGTTTATGTTTCTTACCTTGTAATATTGAGTAGAGCTGAGAGTAGGGTGGGTTTATGTTTCTCACCTTGTAATATTGAGTAGAGCTGAGAGTAGGGTGGGTTTATGTTTCTCACCTTGTAATATTGAGTAGAGCTGAGAATAGGATGGTTTCTCACCTTGTAATATTTAGTAGAGCAGAGAGTAGGGTGGGTTTATGTTTCTCACCTTGTAATATTTAGAAGAGCTGAGAGTAGGATGACCGGCACTATATGCTGAAGAAGAAGAGTAGATTTACTTGTAGACTGGGTTCGAGCCTATAATTAATGGCGTGTCACTTAAAAGTTAAAGGGAATGTTGACATAGTTTAAATAAATCTCTATTTAAAGAGTTACATGACTCTGAGTAACAATAGGAAAGATAAATTAGTTTTTTTAAATAAAATAAATTATCTTTGCCAATTTCCTTGCTGTTTGAATCTGTAAGTTATATCTTTTAATCAACCCAAAATTGAAAATTATAAATTTTCAGTAAGAAAAGCAAGGATGTCTAAAAGATCTTTGCTCATTCAGGGTGTTCAGAGAACTGTGCTCGATCGGGTATCAATTAAAAGGAAAGTAAAATTGAATGAAGTCGACTTTTGCTTTAAATATGTAAATTATAAAGTTAGGGTTAGATTAGGGTCTTCATTCATGATGTGTGGCACGAAATAATATTGAGTTAAGTCTGTTTTTAAAAATTATTTTTTAATAAATTCTTAATTTTGATCAACCCGCTAAAAGTGACGTAAACGTAATTTCGTGTGATCGTTCGTTTACAGAGTGGAACATCCGATTTACAACGGTACCCACAGAAGTGCTTATGATCAAGAATGAATGACTTGAAGGGTACTATTATGAATCGGATAGGCTCCTCTATATTTGAAACTACAGCAGCAGTCCATATTTTAAATATGTATGTAAATATTCTAAATATATATTCAAATATTTGAAATTATATATACAAATAATCTAGCATCTGAGAAATCTCTTAAAGGGAGTGTTCTTGAAAAATGAAAGGGTTATAGGCTTACGGCGAAAAATTATCGATAGTCATCGCTACTAATTTACTTCTATCTATTGCGTTTATATGGAGAAAATTGTTAAAGACCACTCTTACTGAAGAACGTAGCGTCCATACAAATTCAGAAAATTGTAACATAAGACTCGGATGGTAAAAAAAATCAATTTAATTCCAAGCAAATTATTCAGATATTACAAGCGATAAATCAACAATAATTTTTCGATGCATTCATATAAAGTTGATATTTCATTATATTTTTTATTTGTTTATATGCAATGCACACACATAAAACGACGATTTTTCCGCTATGTTTCTACCACATGGAATCATTAAGAGCATCGAGAGCAGAGACATTTGTGTACAGCTAAATCACATTTTTTCTTCACTCTATAATTTATGAATAAACTTCTTATATAATTTTGTGTAGAAGTATACAACTGCTAAGCTTGCAGATAGGCATTAATAAGGTTAAATTTTAAGCTTGAAAGGAAATGAGGTTTTTGCAGCCAAAAACTCATATTTTCTATCCAAACCTTTGAAATTTCAACTTAGATCCTTTGCAGCCACAAACACATATTTTCTATCCAAACCTTTGATATTTCAACTTAAATCCTTTGCAACCACACACTCATATTTTCTATCCAAACCTTTGATATTTCAACTTAGATCCTTTCCAGCCACAAACACATAATTTCTATCCAATTCACAATTTAAAATATAGAAGGTTTACGACATTGAGTTGCAAATATATAGGCATTAGAAAATCTGAGTTTGTGGCAAAGACTAAATTCCTTTAACTTGGAAAATTAATCTATTCTATACATTCCAAAACTGAGAACATTCCCTTTACATGTACTTAATTTACCTGATAACGGTGTGGAGAGCAAACTGCCTGAAACATAAAAAAATTTCATGTTTTTGTTGAAATTTTTGTTTTGCATACATCCTAACACTTTTACTTAAAACAAGCTTAAAACTGTTCAGTTTTATATTTACAGAGAATAAAACTTTTGTATTTTAGTTTCATCTAGAAAGCAATAAACCAAACTTTTTTGTGCGACGGATTAAGAAAGTACAGGTCGGGAGTACAAGGATTAGACAAGTACAGTGAGTTGAGGAGTATTTGTAGTATAGAGAGAGGAGTCCAGGGAGTTAGAAGAGTATAGGGAGCAAAACATAGGGAGTTAAAGGAGAACAGGGAGTTAGAGGAGTACAAGGAGTAAAGTAAAGGGAGTTAGAGGAGTACAGGGAGTACAGGATAGGGAGTTAGAGGAGTACAGGTGTAGCAAAAATTGAGGCCCAATGTAAATTACGTTGTATCTTGTTCATTTAGTAATTATGCAAATCCTGTATTGCGATTAGCCCATTCCATGTACTAAGATATATATAAAACTCCGTCATACCCATATTATGATTGTTGACTACGTTATAGATATAACATAGCATAACTTGTAATCACGCTGTTAATAACCCATTTCTAATATGAACTACAAAATGAACATCAGTTGATTGAGACTCTGCTTTGTTTACGGTATTAGAAGTAATATAAGTTCTTGTTGAAACTTACGCCTGGAGATCGTGCCTTGAGTATTGGTATAGATCTATTTAATTGCTAGTGTCTGTTTTGACATTGATAGCTAAAGAGATTGCGCCCTGTATAGTGGCGTTGATAAACCACGGGATTATAGCCGTGTGCGGATCGTATCCTGTTTAAGACATTGATCTGTTTAATTGCTAGTGTCTTTATTGAAATCGATAGCTAACAAGATCGCGCCCTGTATAGTTGCGTTGATAAGCCGCGGGATTGTAGCCGAGTGTGGATCGTGTCCTAGTTAAGACATTTATCAATTGATTGCTTGTGTCTGTATTAACATCGATAGCTAAAGAGATCGCGCCCTGTGTAGTGGCGTTTATTAGTCACAGGATTTTAGCCGTGGGGATCGTGTCCTGGTTGAGACATATCAATTGATTGCGAGTGTCTGTATTGACATTGATAGCCAACAAGATAACGCCAAGTGTAGTGGCGTTGATTAGTCACGGGATTTTAGCCATGTGGATCAGTCCTGAGCGAGTTTGATATCAGACGAACTGTACCTGGATAGATATGTCTTAAGAAATTGTTATGGAGTAGGTGTTAACTACACAGGGAGTTAGAGGAGTACAGGGAGTGAAGAACAGGTGGTAGAGGGGTACTGGGATTTAGAGGAGTACAGGGAGTAAAGTACAGGTAGTAGAGGGGTACAAGGAGTTAGAGGAGTACAGGGAGTTAGAAGAGTGCAGGGAGTGAAGAACAGGTAGTAGAGGGGTACAGGGAGTTAGAGGAGTACAGGGAGTACAGGACAAGGAGTTAGAGGAGTACAGGGAGTTAGAAGAGTGCAGGGAGTGAAGAACAGGTAGTAGAGGGGTACAGGGAGTTAGAGGAGTACAGGGAGTACAGGACAGGGAGTTAAAGGAGTACAGGAAGCTAGAAGAAGTACAAGAAGTAAAGTACAGGTAGTAGAGGGGTACAATGAGTTAGAGGAGTACAGGGAGTACAGGACAGGGAGTTAAAGGAGTACAGGAAGCTAGAAAAAGTACAGGGAGTAAAGTACAGGTAGTAGAGGGGTACAGTGGGTTAGACGAGTACACAGGGAGGTTTTCAAATAAGTGTAAACAAGAAAGAAATTGAGAGAATGATGGCTGCAAAGATATACAAAATATTCCTGTATATCTGTGGATGGCTGTTAGAGGTTACCTGATATCTCTCTAGCGTGATACTTATGATAAGAAAGATACTAAGAGAGAGAGAGAAATGTCCAAAACACTCGAGTACAGCTGATATGGTAGAGTAGACAAGGGACTCCGTGATAGCATTGTCTGAAACAGATTTAGTTTAGTTTTCAGGTTTGAATGTGTCAAATTGTTTGGCATACATTTAGATCTCTAAAACTGTAAAATTTGAAAACGACTGTTAGACTTAAGCAATGTTTTTAGATCCAGCTCCAAAGAACATGTAACACAGAAATTGTGTAGTGTACACAGACCTGTTTCAAATAAGTTCAAACCAAATAAACCAGTTCAACAGATGCAGAATAGATAGTTTTGTCATTTCAAACTTTTTTCTTTTCTTTTGCAAACTTTAAATTAGTTTCATGTTATTTATGGGGAAATAACAAATTTTACGGAAATAATTAGAATAAATTTAACTAAATATTAAAATGCATATTTATATTTTTTGATATTGTTTATTCTTAGAGTGAATGTAAGTTAAATATTCACAATAATAAGATGAAGTTAAATCACATTTCAAAAATAAAATGGGGGGGGGCACGTTCACCCACAACCCCTATATTTTTTTACCATTTGACTTTTTAGAATAAGTTATTTAGACACTTTTCTGTTTTAATGCGTAAGATACACAAAGATACTCGAATGGCCGTGTGTGCAAATGCCAAATATTTTCTTAAAATCAGATATTTCTTAGGAAATATAAAGAAAGACTAGCTTTGGAAACCCAACTTGGCCTGGACTTATCCGTTCTTCTCCTGTAATGGGAAGGTTTTAAAGAGCTGTCCCATCTTTAATCTCGGGTTCACAGTGGTTTAACACCGCGGGTTCCATCTCTAATCTCAAGTTCACAGTGGTTTAACACCGGGTTCCATCTCTAATCTCAGGTTTACAGTGGTTTAACACCCGGTTCCTGAGCTTCTCTTTTCATAGAAATGCATGTTAAATCGATTTTTTTAAAAATTGAAGCTTAATATTTCTTTTCTATGTGTAAATATATGTCTCAGTTTCAGTGTGATTAATCTTAGTCCAAAATGAAACAAATGTTTAAAAACTGAAAATATATTCTGAAGTTTTGAAAATCATCGAAAACCTGCTAACCATGAATCCAATATGAGTTTAAAAGGGTTTTCTTTGAAAAAGTCTGCAGAGGAAATGCAGTATATACTTTAAGTAATCTTAAAATATTAAAAAAACTAGACTTTACTTCTAAGACAGATATATATTTTTGATAGTTTTCATTAAACAAACTTTTCCTTTTAATTTGAGATTTCACCTTGAAATCTGATCTTTTTTTATTCAAGCGACCTCGCTCAAGCTTCGATGCAGAAATACAATCAGAAAAAATATTTGCATATTTTTATCTCAAGACTTTGATTCTATCTAATTATTTAAAATCTCTTAATTATCTAATTATCTAATAATCTGTCTAATTCTTTAACAATCTGTCAAAATTTTAACAATTTCTGCCTAATTCTTTAATAATCTGTCTAATTCTTTAACAATCTGTCCAATTTTTAACAATTTATGTCTGATTCTTTAATAATCTGTCCAATTTTTAACAATCTGTCCAATTCCTTAACAATCTGACTACTTCTTTTACAACCTGTCTATTTCTTTAACAATCTTACTAACTCTTTAATAAGCTGATCAATTCTCTTAAAATCTATCAAATTCCTAACAAGCTGTCCAATTCTTTAATATTCTATATACCTACATATTTTGTTTGTCTCTTTTTTTTAACCGATAAACGCCAAATGAACCCAAGGAAGGTTTGTGGATCGTCAAAATTGGAAAAAAATCCTGATAAATAGTTGGAATTCATTTTTTTTATTTTGGCGGATTTTCAAATTAGTATTTGAAAAGGAAAACCGTCAGTATATGATTTCAAATGGCCGACTTTCAGAGCAACAGTTAAAAGCTGAAATTATTTACAGGAAATTGGACGCGAAGCGACCTTAAAGTCTATGTAAAAATTCTCTAAAAATCAAACCAATTACATAGCAATCTGTCGAATTCTTCAAAAATCTTTCCAATTCCTAAATAATGTGTCCAATTCTTAGCAATCCGTCCAATTTTATGAAAATACGTCCAATTAATAATAAGCTGTCTAATTGTTTCACAATCTTTCCAATTAGGTAAAAATATAGGGTGAGTAAAGAAGTAGAGGTTAATGATGTTTAAGAAAATGTTTTCAAATTTGTTGAAAAAATATAATTGTTTGAAAATTGTTATGGAAAATGTTTACTCTATTGTTTTCCAAAATTTCAAAAAAATTCATTACAAATTGAAGGAGATATAACAAAAAATTCGCAAAAGCTTCAAAATGTATCAAAATGCAAAATGACCTTATAAGAATTGTTATTACTTCAAAAATGCAAATAATTAAATTACATTTTTTGTTATATTTCATTCAATTTTTGATGATTTTTTTGAATTTTTGGAAAACTATAAAATGGACATTTTCCTTAAAATATTTTTAAAAGAATTAAACTTTTAAAAAATAAAATAGGTTTCGCAAATTTTCTTTTTCCATGTTCCAAAAAATTTCAAGGAAGTAATGCCTGATTTACAACAGTTAAAGTGTTAGTAATGATCATAAATGAACAAATTGTCAATTGATAAGAAATTAATAAATACGTAAGTTTAATATATTTGGGCACGGGGGGGCTAGGTGTGTTTATGGGGTAAATAGGGTTATCACCCCCCCTCCTCAACAAAAAAACGTGCCTATTTTGTAGGGAACCAAAATTACATATATGGAAGTACCAAACAGTATAATAAACTGTAAAATCGTTTCTTAAGTCTCATCCTTTGCGGTTAACCCTGTACAGTGTGTAGTGTATATATCATTAATTTCCTTTTCATAAAAAGCTTTAAGGTATCGTTGTAAATTGTCAATGCTACTCTATAAATGGAGGCTCCCACAAAACTACATCTATACAGTCCCTGCAAGGAAGCTGATTAGAGCTCAGTTGCAGTTTTAGTGAATATATTTTTATAAAATGCACTCCAACGAATCTACTAGATATAGATCACTATAGTTTCAGTAGAAGTAAATATTTCCATTTAGGATTCATATCTCCAATTGGATAATGAGATATATAGAAAGATAGATGTTACAGCCATACTATTTATATTGCAGGTTCAAAATAGACAACAAACACATGACTGAACCCTGATTGGATCAGGCGCTTGTGGACTCGGCAGTCGGCATACAGGAGTGAATTTTATCCTTAAACATTATGGTTGATTGGTCTATTATAATCTTGAATAATAAAGATAAAATGATCTTTTCCTTAGATCCGCTGTATTGCACATCAAAGTAAAGTAAAATGCACTTAAAGGGAGTGTTCACGAATGTAATTCTTATCTTTCCATATTGTTAAACATTTCTACTTTGACGAAGATGGAAAATATTACGGTGATAACTAGAAAACTCTGGAATAGAACGACTTTTTAGCCCAAGTTATAGCTTTAAATAAGCCAATGAACATGAGACACAGCAAATGTGCAGTCTAAACATACCCATTTCCCTTGATAAGTGATTTAATAACGTACTAGTAAAACTTTTAACTTTGTAACAACATCAAATGCAATTCAGTTTTGCTTAACGTCGTCTTCCTTTTCTACCGTTTTCTGGTTATCACTGCATAATTTGTCAACTACATCCGGTTTATTAGGAATGACCCGAAATAAATCCGGGAATATGTATCGTAATATTTAAAGAATTGCTTTTAAAGATTAAAGTATTTACGGTTTGAATGGAATAATGCACATTAGGGATTTTACATTGGCTCATACGCGCGATCATGGGTATCAAGCATTTTAGACCCATCATCATTAGCGATAAAATACATATTCGATTAGGATTCAGCCTAACCCTCTTTAATATTTCGCGATCACTCCCCTTAAGATTGAAATCGTATATTTGTTTAATGATAACTCCTTTTATTTAAGACTTACTGAAAGGAGAAAAAAATGTTTTGGATTTCTTATTTGTAAGCCCCACCCCCCTCTGAAGGGTTTTTGTCCTAACACTCTCATATTTGACTTTTAAAGAATAGAACTCTTTGCAAACAATTTTTTTCATAGGAACCCTATACAGGACGGTGAAAAGGCCGGTCAGTGCTTTTACAAAATCTAAAAAATGGTCTTAACTTTTAGGTTATTCAATTGCTACAGTCCAAAAACTACATCTTTACACATCTTAACATTTGTCAAAAAACATTTTTTATTTTTTTCCTGACCTTTTTTATTTAAATTAAAGGGCTTTTCCAATTTTTTTTTACAAAAAACATGCATTGCAATCCTTTCCCTTTATTTTAAGGATACACATAGACTCCCCAGGGGTCCAGCCTTCATTGTTGTAATGATGTTATTTTTACTAATTAGTGTGATCAGCTTACATGTTCCGTATTAATATTACAACGGAATGTCTCACATTATATTAGATTGTTTATATAGTTCTAAATTGAGATTTAGAGGACTAATCAGAAAATAAAAGAACTGAATAATTGAAAAAATGCAAAGGGCTAATAAAAAAAAATTTTCTTGCAAAAAATTCCAGGCTTTTCGATTATTATGTTCGTATTTTGGCATTAAAGCTTTATAATTATTTACTGAACGCTTTAAAATTTAATCACAACCAATGCTACAGGATTTTTTTTATTAGATTCGTGGCATTTACGCATAATTATTCATAATCAAATCAAATATTGGCATTGAAAAAAATTCATTGAATGACCTCTTACGATTCTTATAAAGCATAACAACCGTAAATAAATTTTATATAAAGTTTAAAATCTTTGATTCAACATTATTAAAAGCTATGTTTAATGATACTGACTTCCCTGTCCTTTTTTACTCACATAACCATATTGTTTTAATTTTATTTATTCGAATATTGTAATATATACTATGATAAAGAAGTTTAATTTGAAAAATTTGAATAATACAATTTTTTTGCTAGCTGTCATCTGCAAAGCTTATGTTTTAAAGGAATCCAATGTAAGAAGGAGTCAACATCACAAAACAAATATCGCCATCTGTTTTGTATACAGCACATCGTTTAAATAATGAATTCATGCATTCCGAAAGAAACAATATATTCCCTAAAAATAACACAATCTTTCAATTCGGTACAGTGATAACCAGAAAAATCTGGAATAGGAAGACGACTTTTAGACTCAAGTTATTACTTAAAATAGTCAAATGAATGTGAGGCACTGCCATTGTGTAGTGTAAATAGATCCTTTTAACTTAACAATCGATTTTATAACTTAATAGTAGAGCTATTTGCTTTGTAACAACATCAAATGCATTTTAGTTTTGATTTAATGTCGTTTTCTTATTCCACAGTTTTCTGGTTATCACTGTAGGTTCCTAAAAACTTTTAATTTATATTGTTACACTATCTTTATGAAACCATAAAGTGTTTATATTCTAATATAATAAAGTTTAGTCCGTTTAGGATAAAATGCAAAGAATGCGAACAACTCAATGTTAAATTACCCCCCTGTCCGATTCACAATGCTACCCATTAAACCTTCGTCCGATAAAAAAAACGGGGTCAACTTGTTCTGCTTAAAAAAATCTATAGTTTCTGTCAATAAGGGACTTGCGGATTTATATGTTACAGAAACAAGGACGAAAAGTTACAATTGTTTTATAATCAAACTTTCAAAGGTTTAGTTTATTTATTACTAGGCTTTTAGGGCGCTTCGCGCCCATCTTCCATTTTAATTGTGCACTTGTTCTTTTTGTTTACATTTTAATACAAAGAAGAAGAAGAAAAAATTTTGCGGATTTAAAAAAAAAATTCGCGGATTTTCAAGAATTTTTTTTTATGAAATTAAAACCTTTAAATATATTTTTTAAAATTTTTTTGATCATTAATAAACCTTCCCTGTGGTCATGTGATGTGCCACAAAAATTACGGGCCCGATCGGTTCAGCCGTTTTGACGTTTATTGAATACAAACAAACAGACAGACAGACAAACACCAAGACAAGCCAAATTTATATATAGATTAAGGTTAGAATTTGCAAACTGTTGGTACGTAAATTTAAATAATTTAATCAAATATAATTAATACATAGTTTGAAAATAATACAAGGTCTACGACATAAGGTACCAATGGTAAAGGGATTTGAAAATAAGGGTTTGTGTCAACTCAACTCAATTTGTAACTATTTGTATATACCTATCTAAATATCTATCTATCTAACTATATATCTCCCTAACAATAGAATACAAATATCGTACTATTTTACCAGATGAATTTTCAAATTTTTTTTAACTACCAAACTCTCTGAAGCTAAAACTTTCTTGATTTCCAATTATCTAATAATCTTAAGAACTTTTCAACTTTAAATTGTTATAAAGGGTCTGTCATCGCCATTTCCAGTTATCCTCTATGCAAAGATAGCGATGTCTGATTTACAAAGGGACCCTTTAGCATGTGTGTGTTGAAGTTCTTGTAACCCGCCTGTATTCAGCTGCAAATCATATATGGATACGACTACGAGAAAATTGAATAATTTTGAGTTCTTGTAAAAATTGAAAACAGCACTATCTCTGTCGTACGCATGTAATTTTAACCTTTAGATCTGGAAAGTTGCTGATTTATCACTGCTTATGCGTGATAACACCAAATGTGTGCTACAGTATCAACAATGTGTACTGCAAATTGTACTTTAAGTGTATCAATGCAAATAAAACAAAGACAAAGTTACAATGTGCTTAATGGCAGTTATTACACAACTATAGAATAGTGTTTAAACATTTGTCAATATCTCTGTTTGTCTATAGCTACTGTATCTTAACTATGTACAACTGTTCACAGCACAAACACTATTGTGTTACCTACATATTTAATTTAATTTGTCAACTAGACTCAGATAGCAAAACTTAAATAATACTAGATGCAATATGCAATAGGTTTTTATTACGCAAAAATCAATTTGAACATTTGAATCTCACTTGACACTTTTTTCATAAAAAATGCGACATTTTCGTTTATTGGTAGATTTACAAAATTCCTAGATATTGAATTTTTTTGAAAGAAAAAAACTGTACAATTATGTAAACGACCATATGTTTTAACATTCTAATCTTCATCTCTCATAATTTATTCAAAATGTAAACTTTCTTCCTAACATTTAGAATAAAACTTACAAAATAAACTTACTAAATATTTCTGGAGAGACGAGAATATTTGTGAGGAGGAAGATAATATCCGCCAAGCAGAGACAAGCCAACAGGTGGTTGAATGTGCTCGCCATGTGCCTAAATTAGGGGTTAAAGGGACAGTCCTCGTAATTTGAATTGTTCTCACATTTAAAGTGGGAGTACGTCCGATTCACATGGATACCCTTTAAACCATAGTTTGATTCATTGTTTGCGAAGCGAGTCACTTTTGCAGAGAAACCACAAATGAAAATAAACAGTTTTAACAAGAAAATAAACAGTTTTAACAAGAAAATAAACAGTTTTAACAAGAAAATAAACAGTTTTAACAAGAAAATAAACAGTTTTAACAAGAAAATAAACAGTTTTAACAAGAAAATAAACAGTTTTAACAAGAAAATAAACAGTTTTAACAAGAAAATAAACAGTTTTAACAAGAAAATAAACAGTTTTAACAAGAAAATAAACAGTTTTAACAAGAAAATAAACAGTTTTAACAAGAAAATAAACAGTTTTAACAAGAAAATAAACAGTTTTAACAAGAAANGTTTATAGTTTATAGTTTATATAGTTTAATATATACCTGCTGCAAAGAACCATAACACTCAAGGAGTTTCCAATGAGGCCTAGTCCAGCAGTTATAATGGATATAACCCCAGATATCCACCATCTAAATATAAAGAGGATACAACCCAAGATATCCAGCATCTAAATATATAGAGGATACAACCCAAGATATTCACCATCTAAATATTTAGAGGATACAACCCAAGATATCCAGTTGTCAACCATTAACTATGATACATGTATGTAAAGTCGTCTTTAACTTAGAAAGGAGACACTAAAGTCCAAACCAAATAATTTTAGGCGGCTCTGGTCCTTTGTTCCCCATAGGAGTGTAAACAACTTAAAGCATTGTGAATCCATCCATTTCAAAAGTTAAACAAAGAATATTTTCACATAAAGAATTAGTGACTTTCGTTAATAGTTAATTGTCATTCTCTTCAGAAGTTTAAAAAAACGTCTTAGGACTGTCTGAGGATTTAACCCTCCAATATCTCTTATTAGATCGTAAGAATCTTTCCATTATAAAAATTCGTTGTAATAATTCATATGTTATTATTTATATCATTTATTTAAGGAAATAAAGAGTTTTCTTTGTTTTCGGTTTTGTTTTGAGGGTTATCCAGATGTTTATCTGTTCATTATTGAGAATCTTGCTGCTATACGACACCAGTATCATCCACCATATAAATAAATTTGGGGTTAATAAATATCCACCATCTAAGTTTATAATCTAATGATTATTTTTTCCTAAAAAAAATACGCCATCATATCAGAATACTAGAATTTACTTTTTAATAGTTCTATTTTGCAATTGCATGGTTCATTTATACAAGCAAAATAATTTCAATACTTTTCAAAATATTTCAAGAAACTAATTTACATATGTGCATAGTTAAAAGAAAAGAAAGTAATTCTAGAGTTAATTTATTGCCTCTTAATTACACTAAACATTCCTTTTCACAGTGTTAATATTATTCCACTTATCCGCTAAACTTTTAATATCATTCCGCTTAACCGCTAAACTTTTAATACTTTCCTTGTAATGCGCTAAACTTAGGCCTATAAATGCGTTTAACTTGTCAAATTAACAAACAAACAATTTTAATTAAAAAAAAAAGATTTCCCGTTTGAAGATTGTAATTTTGTTATTTTATTTTACTTTGTTGCTCCTTAAACGCACTTCAAGCGCAATTTTAAGTGTTAGTTCATGTAAAGATGGAAATGCCCGATTCACTTGAAATTACGCTTACAGTCCCTTTAATATTATTTTGTAATAATAATTTGAAGCTCAAACGGAATTAGTATTTCGCAAATTAATAATTTCTTGAAAAAATTAACTTTTGCACAACTTCTTACTAACATGAAGTTACATTTAATTATTTCTGTGTAGAACCAAATATATTGGCATTCAAGTTGAAATAAAGAATTTTAGAAATTTTTATAAAGTTAGGCAACATTTTCAAACTGCAACAGTGAATTTTCCTAGAAACCTGAATAGAATTCAGTGGTTTGAAATCATTTCGTTAAATAAGCACATCATAGCTTGTCTCAGGTCCCTGGTGTCATACCTCCAGTCCCTGGTATCCTACCTCCAGTCCCTGGTATAATACATACTCCAGTCCCTGGTATCCTACCTCCAGTCCTTGGTATCCTACCTCCAGTCCCTGGTATCCTACCTCCAGTCCCTGGTATAATACCTACTTCAGTCCCTGGTATTCTACATCCAGTCCTTGGTATCCTACCTCCAGTCCCTGGTATCCTACCCCCAGTCCCTGTTGTACTACCTCCAGTCCCTGTTATCATACCTCCAGTCCCTGGTATCCTACCTCCAGTTTCTGGAATCCTACACCCAGTCCCTGGTATTCTACCTCCAGTCCCTGGTATCCTACCTCCAGTTTCTGGAATCCTACACCCAGTCCCTTGTATTTTACCTGCAGTTCCTGGTATTCTACCTCCAGTCCCCGGGTATACTACCTCCAGTTTCTGGAATCCTACACCCAGTCCCTGGTATTCTACCTCCAGTCCCTGTTATTCTACCTCCAGTCCCTGGTATTCTACGTACCTCCTGTCCCTGGTATCCTACCTCCAGTCCTTAGTATCCTACCTCCAGTCCCTGGTATCCTACCTCCAGTCCCTGGTATCCTACGTCCAGTCCCTGGTATCCTACCTCCTGTCCCTGGTATCCTACCTCCAGTCCCTGGTATCCTACCTCCAGTCCCTGGTATCCTACCTCCAGTCCCTGGTATCCTACCTCCAGTCCCTGGTATCTTACCTACAGTCCTTGGTATCCTACCTTCAGTCCATGGTATCCTACCTCCTGTTCCTGGTATCCTACCTCCAGTCCCTGGTATCCTACCTCCAGTCCCTGGTACCCTACCTCCAGTCCTTGGTATCCTACCTCCAGTCCCTGGTATCCTTCCTCCAATCCCATGTATCCTACCTCCAGTCCCTGGTATCCTCCCTTTTTTCTTTTATTCTTCCTCCAGTCCCTTTTATTCTGCCTCCAGTCCCTGGTATCCTACCTCCAGTCCCTGGTATCCTACCTCCAGTCCCTGGTGTCTTACCTCCAGTCCCTGTTATCATACCTCCAGTCCCTGGTATTCTACCTGCAGTCCCTGGTATCCTGCCTCCAGTCCCTGGTATCCTACCCCCCAGTCCCTGGTATTCTACATCCAGTCCTTGGTATCCTACCTCCAGTCCCTGGTATCCTACCTCCAGTCCCTGGTATCCTACCTCCAGTCCCTGGTATCCTACCTCCAGTCCTTGGTATCCTACCTCCAGTCCCTGGTATCCTTCCTCCAATCCCATGTATCCTACCTCCAGTCCCTGGTATCCTACCTCCAGTCCCTGGTATCCTCCCTTTTTTCCTGGTATCCTACATCCAGTGCTTTTATTCTGCCTCCAGTCCCTGGTATCCTACCTCCAGTCCCTGGTATCCTACCTCCAGTCCCTGGTATTCTACCTCCAGTCCCTGGTGTCTTACCTCCAGTCCCTGTTATCATACCTCCACTCCCTGGTATTCTACCTCCAGTCCCTTGTATCCTACCTCCAGTCCCTGGTATCCTACCTCCAGTCCCTGGTATCCTACCTCTAGTCCCTGGTATCCTACCTCCAGTCTATGGTATCCTACCACCAGTCCCCGCTATCCTACCTCCAGTCCCTGGTATCCTACCTCCAGTCCCTGGTATCCTACCTCCAGTCCCTGGTATCCTACCTCCAGTCCCTGGTATCCTACCTCCAGTCCCTGGTATCCTACCTCCTGTCCCTTGTATCCTACCTCCAGTCTATGGTATCCTACCACCAGTCCCTGGTATCCTACCTCCAGTCCCTGGTATCCTACCTTCAGTCCCTGGTATCCTACCTCCAGTATGCTATAAGCTGAGGGTCTGGAGGGGATCCACACATCCTCTCTATCTCCAGTATAAAGGTTGTATTAAGACTGTAGTTCAGGTTCAAGCTCAGGTTTAGACCCATACTCAGGTTTAGGTTAAAGGTTGAACTTGAGTTACAAAACATTTCTGTCTCATTTGTACAGGGAATAAACCCAGAGTAGAAGGTCTCCATGAAAGGATAATGATCCATTCTGAAAAAATAAAACCTTAACTGAATATTGTTTTAAACGATATTGATGGAGACATCCTTGTTTTTAATTCTCTATTGGGGTTTAATTCTCGGAAAAGGATTTGGAAATTTATGCATTAGATACATAGATTATCTCACTTCAAGATAAATGAAGATACTTCTTTTTCATTGTTTCGCAGATAAAGCTCTCAAGGGTATCATTATGAATCGGGCAACGAAATCTTTGCATGGTGGGTAACTTGAAATTACACTGTGAGTGTGCAGTGCATTTATAGTGAATAAGTTTTACAATCCCTTTATTATTTCATTTTTATTTTTTATTTTTTTGCAGCATAAGTATCTTTGACACTTTTTATATAAAATATAAAAAATCTAAATAGAAATTATATTNATCCTTCTCTGTATAAATGAGTATATAGATAAACCTATCCTTCTCTGTATAAATGAGTATATAGATAAACCTATCCTTCTCTGTATAAATGAGTATATAGATAAACCTATCCTTCTCTGTATAAATGAGTATATAGATAAACCTATCCTTCTCTGTATAAATGAGTATATAGATAAACCTATCCTTCTCTGTATAAATGAGTATATAGATAAACCTATCCTTCTCTGTATAAATGAGTATATAGATAAACCTATCCTTCTCTGTATAAATGAGTATATAGATAAACCTATCCTTCTCTGTATAAATGAGTATATAGATAAACCTATCCTTCTCTGTATAAATGAGTATATAGATAAACCTATCCTTCTCTGTATAAATGAGTATATAGATAAACCTATCCTTCTCTGTATAAATGAGTATATAGATAAACCTATCCTTCTCTGTATAAATGAGTATATAGATAAACCTATCCTTCTCTGTATAAATGAGTATATAGATAAACCTATCCTTCTCTGTATAAATGAGTATATAGATAAACCTATCCTTCTCTGTATAAATGAGTATACAGAGAAACCTATCCTTCTCTGTATAAATGAGTATACGGAAAATACAATGATCCAACCATCCAGAAGAGCAGATGGAACTGGATTAAATTCTCTGAGTATTACGGAGAGTAGCCAGTAGGAGAAGATATCTCCGTCAACGGAGGATGGGAGTACCCGAGCTAAGAATCAGAGAGCGATAGAGCGATGTTTTAGAATTGAAACGAAATCTTGTTTAGGAAAAAAACCTTACATTTTGTTCGAATTATTGACAGAATGTTTGTGTAATCTCACAAATTCTATATCCGTAACATTTTTAACAAAATGGTCATATTTTAAATGTTTTTGGTATAATTTGACATTATGAACACAATATTAGGGCTTCGTATTATTTGTGGGATATTTAGAGGTCAGAGATGTCGAATTGAGTTTTTTTTCGGAATTTAGTTATAAATAAAAAAGCTAAAAGAAAAATTTTCAGAAACTAAAAGTTAATAAGATCCAAAGAAGATCTATGGAAAATTGTCACAAAAACTAACCAGGTCAGAGATATTATTTACCCCTTTTGTGTACTATATTCTACGTCTTTCTTGGAATTTTTTAAAAACTTTTTCCAAGCTTGTTTTGTTTGACTTTAACGTAAATAGTTATATTATATCACTCATTAGAAAATGCCTGCAAACTGCAGACTGCAAATTCGAAAAACGAAAACAAAATTGGAATTATATACAGGGTGAATCAAAAAAAAGTGTGATTTGCAGCGCCTAGTGCAAATTTGTACTTTTTTGTGCATCTCCCCTGCATGGTGTTTTTTCAATATTTTTTGAAAATTTGTATTTTTTTTTGGTACTCCAATGGCCCAAAAGAAAATACGCGAACCTTTTTTCTCTCAAAATAAAAAGTTCAGAAAAGCAAAAATGTGCATATAAATTATTTCTATCGAAATCGAATATTTTTTAAAGATTAAATCAAAGAATCACAGAAAATTTGCAAAATTGTAAAAAGAAAATTCCCAATTTTTAGTTCCGGTCTTAGTTTTAATGAAAAGTTATTTAAATTCTCTAGTTCCTTTCTTCTTAGTATATTCTGAAGTATTAAATATACGCTGTTTAGTCAAAACCATTGAAAAATAATTTTTCCGCAAAAATTATACCAGAACTGAAAATTGCGAATTTGCTAATTACAATTTTGCAAATTTTCTGAGATTCTGTGATTCAATCTTTTTAAAATTTTAGATTTCGATAGAAACAATTTATTTTACTTTTTGGTTTTTCTGAACTTTTCAGTATGAAAGAAAACATGTTTTGCGGAATTTTTTTATATACAAAAAAAAATCACAAATTTTTAAAAAATATTGAAAAAACACCTTACAGGAGAGTTACACAAAAGAAGGTACAATATTTCACCAGGCGCCGCAAATCACACTTTTTTTTGACTCACCCTGTATATTATTACATTAAACACTGAAAATATTTTGCAAAGTACATTGTTCATTTTCGTATGAACAATATTTTTAGAATCAAAGAATGAATTTAATAAATTAGCTTTAGAAATTTCATCAATGATTGAACAAAGGGGGAACAACAGCTGTGTGCTAATAATAAGGAAAATAAGTATTCAGTCAATTAAATATTATTAAAGGATGGTTGAATCACAGAACAGGTAGTATAGAACCATCACTGACGCGTACCGGCGTCTAACAAACCGGTACGTGTCGTTTGAAAGTGCTCAATGCCGCAAGATTTATGTATGTTTGCTTGAAAGTGACAACATTGTAAAAATAATCATATGTATCCTCTTCCAGTGCTATTTAGTTTGAACTTCTGCCGGTTGAACTATTGATTTTTTGAACTATTGGTCGTTTGAACTATTGCACGTGGTACAACGTGTTGTAGTTCAAAATATTTCAAACGATAATATTCTGTGCGCATTTGAAATATTTTTTGCTCATTTGAACTCTTAAAAAATAGTTCAATTGAGCCGAAAAATATATGGTTTAAATGCACAAACAAAATAGTTCAAATGAGACAAGAAATAGAAACATGTGCCACACTTTTATATTTGTTTAAAACAAAAAAATAAAAGTTTCATTTTTTGATCATTTTTTTGGCATTTTTTTCAACCCTCCCTAGCACCCCAAGTCTCAACTATTAAAGTTATCGGTCTAACTTTCTTCAATGAGCTGGCCTTGAAAAGTTAAGCTATAATGAATATGCATTTCAACCTTATACCTTTTCTCTAAGGCCTTTTTTCCCAGGCTACACATAGATTCAGACCCCCCAGCCTTTTAGGGATTCAAGGCTTTTGGGGGTCATTTAGGTCATTAGAGGTCGTAAGAGGTCATTAGAAGGTCAAACACTGTATTTATTGCTGCCAGCTGCCACTATAATTTCTTGGTTCGTGACACATCTCTCTGATAGAACAAATTCTATTTGTAGTAAAAGTTATCTTATTTTTCTCATTCTCCGCTTTCTGGTTCAAATCTAATATCGTAAAAATATCACTGATCTTTTCCATAATCTAGATACATATAAAGTAGTAATCTCTTTGTCTGTTTGTTTGTATGTCCGATCATAACTCATAAACCCCTCGGCTCAAATTTTGATTGGGGAACTCGGTATGACCCACGGAATGTTCTTAGATTGGTGTAATGGTACTTAATGTAATGTAATGTAATGATACTGAGTTCTCAAGCTAGTTTATATATATATAAATTAGTAATCTCCTTGTCTGTTGGTTTGGCAAATATTCGATCATAACTCATGAACCCCTTGACAGATTTGCCTCCAATTCACCCACCAACAAAGAATAAATCTAGTTTGGAAGTGAATTTAATAAATAAGTATACAATGCTATCCAAAATGTGTTGTTAACAATATTTTCAAAACTATATACTTAAACTAAATATAAAATCATAGCTATATATATCCAAAGAGAATAGAATATATATTAGAGGGGAATTTTCTAGAAAAAAGTGTAAAACGCCCATTTTGTTGTACTGTTTCCATATTGGAGATGTACTTCACATATTTATGCCATATAACCTTTTGGACCCTGGAATATCATTTTATAGAAAATTTAAAATGAATGTTAAAAGAAAACCAAATTATGAAATAGGCTGGTTTCATAATTGACGAATTATAATTTCACATAGACTCTATGCCTTCCACTTTACAAACGATGATTTTCCGTTATAACTTTAAATCAAATGATGTTTTTTGTTCACCTAATTCATTATAAAGTTTATTTAACAGTTTAAAATATTCGAAATTGAAATGAATAGTCTAGGGAACATACTGTATTAATGTACTCTACTGCATATAATTTGTGAACATTTACATGATTTGTACACTTTCAACTCCCTTTTAGGTTGAAAGGGACTGAAAAAATTCATACCGAGAGATTCTTTAAATTCCCCTTTAATATATATTCTATTCTCTATGTATATATCTATAGGATGAATAAAAGAAAAGACGACATTGTTTTGTGTTAATCTCTGTACAATGTTGAGACGTGCTTTTATACATAAACTAGCTTGGGAACCCATCTTAGCTTGGATAAAAAGTTTACTCTGTAAAAGTCAACCTTCTTAATTTTATACAGCCAGACCAATCTGGAAATATTCTATTGATTCTACATAGTTACCCCATTCAAATATGAGGCAAATCGGTTTTTGGGTTCATGATGCAGTTATGATCGCATATCCAAACAAACTACCAACGATTACTTTACTTTACATTTATAGTTGCAAGATGAAATGTAGAAAAAATAAAAATAAATATTTTTTTTCGAACATTGGAAAAAAATCCACAATATAATTTTTCCCCCGAGATGTAGACTTTCTTTGCAAACAATGTGAGAATATATTTCTCTTAAAAATATATATATCAATAATAACAAAATGTGCTTAATTGTGATTTTAGTGACGTTTTATCCCGTGTTTTGTGGGGTTGAAGGTTTTTTTTAAATAATACTGCATCACATTATCATAACTTTACTTTTCACGGTTTGGTTTGCTATTTATAGTAAACTGCAGGGTATTAAAGAACTAACATTTAAAAAATTTAAAAACTTGAAATGATGTGCATTTA